CTTGAAGTCGCGGCCATGAGGTACATTTAACATACCGTTCATCCCATGGTGAAACTCCCGCAGTCTTTCGAAGCCGAGGTGTTTCGAACGCCGGTGTCGCATTATAGGTTGTTCGAGATAAGCGAGGAACATATATTAGGTCTTCGTGATAATGCGCAACCTCCCGACATCAAGAAGTTACGAAGTCGATAACGATGAATTCGAGTAAACCGTGGTTATGTCGCATATCTAGTACATAGCATTGTGTGTCCTGCGTAACTATACGACCTCTCGGAGAGTGAAGTCCACTGTACGATTCACGCGATATAATGGTCATGTGTTCATGAACTAGTACCAAATAGTTATGATACCAGATGTTCGAATCCTGCCACAATGGCACCCGTCACAAACACATGCAAAGGCACGTCAACAGTTCACCCGAACCACTAGAACCAAACACAGGAATATGAGGTACAAGTCAAAATACACAATTACATCGTATATCATTTTTGTCACTGGTGCGTCAAATTTTGAAATGTCCTCCACATGCCCTTCTCACGACAATTACGGTTAAGTAAGAACATGTTTGTAAAATATATATTGTACCGAGTAAAAATGGCTCGTGTTTTCATTCTTGTCTCGCGCATCTGTCAGTACAGTAATGATTACACATCCTTTAACACACCTGGGGATCCTAAGTCATTTACGTGAACAGCAACATTCATGAGAATATAGGGTCTCCTGGTTAGACTTCAGTCAGTTCCTAATAACACGGAGATAAAGCAGGCCTCTACTTCTTTTAGTATGTTATGTACAGAAATATCAAGACACAGCCTTGAAATTCTTTATACAACACGTAAACCAATAGCATCTTGTGACTGCGATAGCAAATATTTCTAAAAACATTATATGAGCATCAAGTGGATGCGAAAGCATATATATATTTCGAAAAGTGTATAAATGTATGTTCAGTCTGTCGTTATTGTTTCGTTTTAGTTTTTCTTTCAAGGATAACTCCTTGGGGGCCTGACATGTTTGATAGTTTATTGGAGATTTCATTAGCGATACTATGTTCAAATATCCTTAGGGATCACTTTTTTAAACAAAGAGCCATATTTGTATCAAGGAGAATATTGTATTTCTTTGAGAAGATCCGTGAAGATCCGGGTTAGAATTGGTCTTCAGTAACCCATGCTTGTCGTAAGAGGCGACTAACAGGATCGGTGGTCAGACTTGCTGACTTGGTTGAGACATGTCATCGTTCCCAATTGCGTAGATCGATGTTCATGCTGTTGATCACTGGATTGTCTGGTCCAGACAGATAGAGTTGTATATGTGCGATGTTAAACAACAAACAAACAAAGCTTTCAGAGAACTAGAAATAGGAATGTAATTTATGAATCAATTGTTTCATTTCCAGGCTGGTTTAGCACCACAACTCAGATAACAGTATCACAATAAACACCAATTGCAACAAATACCAGGTTAAGCTGTCAATCTCGATATCCGCAAATCAGTGTCAAGATCTTGACTGATGAGTAGATTCCTGGCTGAAGACCACCAGCAACTGGCAATAAGCTAAACTCAATCACAGACCGCTGTCTTAGCCTTCAGAACCACCGACAGCGGCTTGTCCAGAGAGTGTCCTATGATTTGATTTCCTCTCTGTAATTACATTATGTCCTAATGCCATGTTCCTAGCTCGGTCTGACCTCCCACTAATTGGTGCAGTGGAACTGCAGGAATTGAGGCCGTCTTTGATGCTTTCGGGGTTTATGTGAAGCTCTGGCCTTGGTGTGTGAGACATTCCGTGAATAACTGCTTCTGTCTCATACGAATCATTTGATCCTGGGTCGGCTGTGTGTGGTACTTCTCTTATCGCCCTGGTGCCATTTACACACCTTCGATTATGATTCGAACAGACACGGGTGGTCACGTCGTCCAATGGGAAGTAGTTCACGTTGCAGAGTTGCGTCCCATGGGCGTGCCAGAAACCGATGTTCGTGGCTTTACTTCAGGTTTTACGCTTCAAGCTGGCACGCCGTGATGTAACTTGAATGTTTTTCAATGCGACTTTAAAACTCACTTTTTCACTCAATGTTCACTGTTGCAATCAACCATAAACCAGTTGAGGTCACCTCACTCATACAAGGGTCAGTTGTATATTTCAGTCTATCACTCACCAACAACGCTGAGGACACACCCATTCACCGGACTCATTCACTCACCTGACAGACTCACCCACCCACCCATCCATCCACTCACTCACTCACACAAATGCCATATGTGTCTTGTAAACAACTGTCGATCAAGAACAGCGCTACCAGTAAGAGGACACCTTGCTCTCTCACGAAAGGGTCAACATTGTATTTCAAACATTCCTCACTCACAAACGATGCCTCAAGTAGAGGACCCTTGACTCACTCACTCATATGCACATGCTCTCCGGCTCATTAACTCACGCACTCGCTCGCTCACTCACTCACTCACTCACTTACTTTGTCGGTTATATCAATTTGATATAACACAAACTATAGCATTATTACATTATTTTGCGTTTCATTAAGGAAACTATTTCAAGACTGGAATTAACATGATAATGCCAAAACACCCGAGTATTGTTAAAGTAACTCACTTAATACCATTATCGCTTTCTCCTTACTACGCTTCCATGTAGAGTTACAGGAGGATTCAATTCGTGGTACCGCCATGCAGCCTTTATTACTTTCGAACTTAACTTAAAGTGACGCCAAACAATGGACCTCAGAACGCAATATGTTAGTCTGACATTTATATCCAACAAAAGCAGTAAGCTCTAACCCAACACTAAAAGGTTAAAGCTGCATGTTCATATAAGAAGTATTTCAAACATAAATATATATTTTTCTCCAACGTGGAGGATCACATGGTAAACAAGCATCCAAACAGACAGTAAATTCGTGAATATATCGTCATCTGGTCCAAACATATCCTTGATTGCATCTTTTGAACTATTTTGTATCGATTCTAAATTTCAGTCAACTTCAGATGGAGATAAGATCTAGTTACAGTGACAGGCGGACGTCATTCTCTCGATATATTTCTGTTTTTTGGACGATGTAAATCACGCTAAATAACAATCACTGGAAACTGAAACGTGCAGTATGTAAGATGGAAAGGAAAATGAATTGGTGCGTGAGTTGTATAGACAGTTGACAATATTAGTGCAAAAATACGATTCCTTTTAAATGGGATTTTGATGTGTGCAACAGCTTGCGTTACTTTGGTGGCATCTATTACACAAATAGACAGGGGAGACGTATTCACGTTACATATACAAAGATTTATTGGTTTTACAGCCCTCAAAGTACACAGTTTGACTCAATAGCGGTGTTAGTATCAATAATCATAAACATATGGACATCGTCAGTTATTGATCGTCTATCTGAGTAATGTCCCAGCTATGTCATGGCGGTCTGTAAATAACAGAGCTTGGGCCAGTGATTGACACTATGAGCATCGTTTTCAGCAATTTAATTTTAATTTAAAAAACAAAACAAGCTATGAATCTCACCACCGAACCTTACCACCGCATCCATCTACACACTTTCTGTGGCTAGCATGAGTTGCTGGGGCCGTTAGTCTTACCCGCAGTCCCTATGGATGAATGAATGAATGAATTTATGAATGAATTGATTGATGGGTGGACGGGTGGATGGATGAATGAATGAATGAACACCCCATCCGTCTACTCGCCTGTTGTGGCTTGCGTGAGTGCTAGGGTCTTTGTTCTTAGCCGCAATCCCAATGATTGATTGAATGAATGAATGAATGAATGAACGGATGGATGGATGGATGGACGGACGAACGAACGACCGAATGAATGAATGAATGAATGAATGAATGAATGAATACAGCCTAGAGGTCCATTCTCTACATCTACACATGTAGAATGAGTGAAGTCAACGATTGCTGCCTTTGCTGGAGCACTGTTTAAACAGCGTACACTCTCGCTCACTCACCCATACTAAGTGATTCAGTTGCGCGTCTACCGGACAATAGGCCCATAGTTTCCTCTGGTTTTGAAAGGTAATACGATATTCACCATGTCAGTTTCCACACATCCGTGTCACTTTGATCCCATCTTTAAACACCTCCATCAAAGATCGGTAGAGGTCGTCGTCTCGACAGCAAGCAACGTCGCGGTAAGAACGCGGACAACATCAGCCCGAGGCTCTATTGAACTAGTCTCAAAGGAGGAAATTTCGTTTTCGTGTGAATGAAGCTTTGAATTAAGCTCTAATACTTTACGTTAGATATTGGATAACGAGTAACGTTTCATAAAGCCACACACAGCCCGCCGTCACGAATCATATTCGTCAATGTTAAACAGCTCGGTTTCTATTCACAAAACCAATGTACACCAGCCTCTGTGTTTATCAAGAAACCCACTATATGTATCACCAGAATAGTTCCTGGTTATTCCTGATCTTTTACCCAATTATCTTTTATGGAAGGTGAGATGTATGAATGATTAAAATCTATACTTCAAGAGAACGATTTTTCCCCATGCGTAAAGGTTTCTAATGATTCGCAATTTGCCGTGGACACATTTTGCAGATTCGTTTCGTGTATAGGAATACATAATACAAAAGGCCCCCTTAGCACTGCGATAATTGTTACGACAATTGTAACGTCAATATATTAATATAGACCTAAGATAGTCGTACTACTAAGATCGCTATGTGAAATGGGATCCTTGTCCTACTCGCCGTATACCGCTTACACTGACTCCCTTAATTAAACAAGGACTTGTCCTAAGTGTCGATGTTGATATATTTATTTTCGTGTATTAACTGTGAAAGGTATGGTTGGAACAGCAATATGAAATAATTAACGTTAGTGTATAACCAGTCTCACTTCTCTGCCTTCACAGATTCCATTAGGCGTAAACTGCACAGTATCAGCGATTACTGTGTCATCTTGTAAAACTCTCTCTCTCACTCACTCACTCACTCACGGTCTAACCCTTGTTTCTCCAGACACACGGACCTCTCCAGACATACGAGCTTCACATCATATGATGAAGATGACGGAGATTCACGGTACAACGGCTCGGAATTAGCCGCAGTGACGGAAAGTTCCGATGATGACCGATTGGATATATTGCCTTCACCTTCAATCTCCCCACAGATGTGGCGCAGCGTCGAGGACTATGGAAACCAGTCCGACTCCGAATCTTCTTCAGGTACATTGCTTTAAAAATGACAGTCAGATCGGCATGTTCATATTTCTTCGAGCATTCATATATTTCAGACTGCTGGGGCAATACCCGGTAATGTATGCATCTTCATCTTTATCTTCATCTTCATCATATGGGCGGGGCCTATTTTCAAGACCATACTCACGCACTCATGCATAACGAAGGTTACTGTGACCGACATTTCTGCATCTTGACAAAACAATATCATTGACTGTGGCATGATGGTGTATTTTCATCAAGACAATCTTTTCTTTTTCTTCTCCTTCCAACCACATCCAGCTAAAACGTTTTGTTGCATTAAAGCAAACGCTTCATGAAGCGTATTCAGTTCTTGCAATTCATAAAGTTTTTTCTCCAAACGAAATGCTTTCCTACATTAAAGTCAACGTTTTTGCTACTACTTCTACAGACAACAACGAAAATACACTTAATGCACATTTTTTCCCAACATGATTTATTGGCCCAGTGAAACCCTCTACTGACGTGACGTCTTCCACAGCACGACATGCTGCCATTGCTTTCCAGGATAAACAGATCAAGTTTAAAAGATATACATTAATTTATGAATTGAGTATATTTAGGGGATAATTTAGCACAGGTAATTTCGACTCCATTTCACTATTCCAGGTGACATCAAAGCAGCGTTAATAGTTTTGGTTCTGATAAGAGTAGTCCTCTTCATTTCAGAAAGAATCTTCGAACCTTCTTGATTAAAATTACCCTGTTATAGCTACGCATCACGTTGATACCGACTGGTCGATATGTATCGAACGTAATTAGTGTAATAGATTTTACATTGTTAAACAGTAAGGAGTATTTAGTCATTGACATTGTCTTTTTATAGCTGTTAGTAGGGCTTGGTTAGACGGTAATTAAGCTTGTTTGCATTAGGTACTTCACTGTCCACGTACTTGAAATAGGTTAATCAGTTACTGATTCCCGGTCACTGTAGAAGTGAAATATAATGACGTCACTCAAGATGCTGACGTCATGCCCTGGAATGGTTTGTGTTTATTGGAAACTGTTTTGTATACAGTAGCTATGTATGATTATTAATACACATCATGTGTAAGGGGAACAGCGTGGTAGCCTATTGGTTAAAGGGTGGTTCATTACCACGAAGACACGGATTCGATTCCCTACATGGGTACATTGTGTGAAGCTCATTTCAGGTGTTCCACGCTATGATATTGCTTGAATATTGCTATAAATCGTGTAAAAACTACACACATCCTCTCACTCTCAAATAGTGGGCCCCCAGTAGGAAACTCCATTAAATTAATTACACATATACATTATGAAAATACAGACAATACGTGTGCCAAGAGAATTATAAGTAATCTCGATGTTGTTTATTCCATCGTTATGATCTTTTCCCATAGGATGGATATAATAACCATGAGACGATTACACAAATACAAATACGCCGCTGTTTTTGCCCGTGATTGTTACATAAAAACAAGTTAAAACTTATGTGCCGATTATATACGTGGTACCTATGACATAGCATATCACTGCAACGTTTTTATAAACATGTGAAGGGTGAGCTACAGAGCCTCAAGAGATAATTAGAGGAAGGTATCGAGTTATTATCACTCTACTCCCGTCGAAATTTAAAGCAAATATTATTTGTGCGATACAGTAGTCTCTTCCTATGGATATATTGTAACGTAGCTCATCGTATTTAAGCGCAGCCCAATACCGCTGGTGCATGTGCTTCACTCGATCAGTTAGAGGCCCTGTAAATACGAATGTCAGAAAGTCAATATAAAGGTTCTGCTTCTGAAGAAGTAACTATCAGCCTTAATGTTTGCTTTAACTGTCATTGAACAGCTTCCGTGCGTAAACTCATCAGAAGAAAATTGGGACCCTCTTATAGCAAGATAAGATTAACAGTAATAAGATGTTTAACGATCTTGTATAGTGTACTGTCAGTTACTGTTACGATTCGTTTATAGTCCCGTGAACATAACGGTAAGAATTGGTCTTCAGCAACCCATGCTTCTCGTGGGAGGCGATTACTGTGATCGGGTGGTCAGGCATGCTGACCTGGATGACAGGACATCGTATCCCATTTGCGTTGATCGATGCTCATGATGTCAATCACTGGATTGGAACAATCTCTAAATAGACATTACATGGTTGGTGCATAAGGGAGACACAGTAATGTTTTTCGTGATGGACACTATATAAGAAATACAGTATTGACTATATTATGTCTTACAGTTCAGCCGCTACCCTATATAACTCGAGTTAAACATTTTTTATGTTCCATTGGCTTCTCTTCAAGTCAACCTTCACAAAACATACACAGCATTTCAGTAACAAGGCACTACCTTTCGTTTATAGAAATCTCCTTCTCCTGATATCACTTCATAAAACTTGTATTAATATTCCAATAATAAAAACCCCACAAAACCATTTCCATAATCATATGGAATCTCTGCTAAAAGCACCTTTGTGTGAGTCCGACTTTACCGTTATGATTCCATATGGCAAACTCAAGTCAGTTGACACTGGAAAATTGCTGACTATGTCAGAATCGGAGATGAATGTTTAGTTATCAAACCGTACATAGAAATCAGAATAAAAGTGCTTCTCTTTCATGTGTCTCTGCTCGTTCTGTGTCTACATCTTTTCCCAGAACATGCGATGCCAAAATGCCTGAAGGCTCGGTCACTCTGAAAAACTCGCTAGGAGTATTGATTCCCCAGTCGCTGTGAAGTTATACTGGAGCACTCCTAAATCGTTTGCATGAAATGTCAGGCTGAAAACTCCTGCTGCCACGGTCGTCTCAAGTAAAATGCAAAGAGCACCATAAAACGGTTCAACTCTTTTGATCGCACGTCACCAGCTTGTTTTAAATTCTGATTTCAATTTTCTTTTATGAGATGCGAGTTGAGATCGACTGACATTTCAGAGTTCAAAAAGAAAGGAATAATTATATCATATGGTTGCTAAATCCTTTATTTGTTGGCATTTCCATAAGTAAAACGTGATGGAATGGATGGATAACCGTCGTTAACAGCCAATCAATAGGTTGTTAGGTATATTCAAACATGTAGAGCAAGTGTGCTGTCTTGTTTCTGGTTTTGCAACACAAGTAACATTGGAAATGTATGGACGTATGTTTAATGACAATGTGTCTTCCGTTTATTTCTATAGTGCAGTAGTCGGGGCGGTGGGGTAGCCTAGTGGTTGTAGTGTTCGCTCGTCACGCCGAAGACCCGGGTTCGATTCCCCATACTGGCTCAGTGTGTCTCCCATCGGCATATTCCTGGAATATTGATAAAACCCACCTGAAGTCGCCAATCGTACCCGCCCAAATCACCCACACCTCCACTCGCATGCTCAAAACCACCCATCCACTCACCCTCACTCACTCACCCGCTGCCTGACAGAGTGTAGACAAGCATATTAACACAAGGGAGCACTGAGATGAGGAATATCTCCAAAGAATTGGACATGACAGCAGCCAGATTCCTATTGAAGCGAATGAGTGACTATGGTTTTACGCCGCTTTTAGCAATATTCCAGCAACATCACGGCGGGGGGACACCAGAAATCGGCTTCATACATTGTACCCATGTGGGGAATCGAACCCGGATCTTTGGCGTGACGAGCGAACTCTTTAACCACTAGGCTCCACCACAGCCCACCTATTGAAGTAACTTTGAAGGACATGGGAAAATAAGACAGGTATCGTCTCTTTAACTTTTATTTCATCCTCAATATATACTGTAGTATACAATGGTAATGTTTTGATTCTCGTAGACATAACTTTTTTGACTGTGTTCGTTACAACCGACTTATGACTTCGACATAGTGGCATTATGCATTACAGCACATATGTATTATATCCCTGTTGGATAACCATAGCACCACTAGAATGTGGGTGGATTTGACGATCACATATATTACGACGTTTCAGCTTGATGCAACTTCCTGGCGCGGCCAAGGGACGTAACTCTACCCGGCCCCCTTTTTTGCAATACGATGGCCGAGGTCTGAAACACTAAGCATGTGTTGTCAACTTTTGAAATGTGTCAATTGGTATCATGGAGTGGCACTTATGTTACTGCAAGGACCAGTACTCATAAATACTCATTCGAATTATTTGCATATTGATGGTCTGTACTGTGGGCAGACCTTAGTTACAATCGATCAATACGGTGTGGAGGTATAGGCGAGAAGAAGCAAGAGAAAACAGGAAGTGTGTGATCCAAGATGGTAAAAAGGTTCACTCGGTCATTAATAAATGCATAAAGACCAGTAGGTTACATCACCATGGAAGTGTAGCCTAATTATACCAGTCCTGAAATGGGGGTAGGAGTTTGTTCCAATGGGCAGCTAAACCGTAAAGCGGCCTAGCCATCATGTCTTATCATTTTAGTATATTTCTAGCTTTATGGTTATATTTATTATAATTCAGATTATGTTTAACGATGATTATATGAATAAGAGAGAGATTGTCGGGAAGACAGGTATCAAACGTAACATTGGGAAAGGGAAAGAGAGGTGAGTATTAACAGTGTTTTACATGTGTCAAGTACTATTTCATCGATTTTTATATTGCTGCGTGCGGCGTAAAACTAACCTCACTCACTCACTCACTCATCAATTTTGTCCCGTCGTGTCTCTGCCGAGCCTTCGTGTAAATTCAGAGCATTCAATAATACCATCTTTACCGACACTTTGACTTCATATACTATTTCATCTTTGACTGCATCTTGAACTAATACATCTACTCGTGTGTCTTGAAATATACTGAAGGAAACAAATAATTTACCAGAGTTTCCCCTCAGTATACATCTTCGAAATAATATCTACGCGTCCATCTTTCACTGCATACACTAGTACATCTTTGAATACATCTAATAGTCCATCGTTTAAATAAAATATTATGTATTTTACAATCTTTAATACTTCTATCCGTTCATCTTGTGATACATACAATAATCCATATTCGAATGCCTTTATTAGCC